CCCAAATATTCGACAATATCCTCGCTCTCAAGGAGCTCCTTAACAACTATAAAATCAGGCTCGTATAAGGCCTCCCCATTCTTATCCGTTACCGGTTTTCCTACCCGGCTTACTCGTTAGACCCGGGGGATACGCGCCACAAAAGCGGTCAAGACGGTAAAACTCTCCTGGTCCCCGACACCGACCTACCCCTCCTTCTAGACATAGGAACCTAATTTTTTATCAAAAATTTTCCTCGTCCACTGAAAAGGGAACTTGTAAACCAACCTGTTTACATGCTCCCCCAACTCGTTCAAAACGGGTGCCCCATTCTCATCATATACCGGTGCAGTCCTGAAAATGTTCAGCATCGCTCTGCTGGAGAGGGGCTACACTAGAACATATTTGTCCTTAAAATTCCATACAGACTCCAAGTAAGCTTTGAACAACTTCATGTTGCCTTGCTTCAGAGCACCCCATCCCCACTTACCATCAATCTTGCTCCTATGAAGATGGAAACAGTAAAAGAACAAAGGGATGATGGCCCCGATCTTAAAGTAGTCGCAAAAGATCTCGAACGCCTGCATGAGAGAAACCCCATTCGGATGTAGTTGGGAAGGGGCCAGTCGAAGATTACAAAAGACGGCCACATGGAAATCTGAAAAGGGGATTTGGAGGCCCGTCTCCTGGAAAACGATGTCGTACATGAGGATCCACCTCTTGTCATATTTGGAGCAGATCCGGATGTCTTTCCCAAGGATCTAAAGCGACCAATCTCCTCGACCTCCATCATCGTGCGCGTATACCTTAGTGAAAACCTCATCAGAGTGTTCGAAGAAATCAATCCCAAGGATCTTGGGCGACCCAAGACTGCAGGTCCTCATCTTCGTCGGGCGGAAATAGGCCACCCTGATCAACGGGGGCCATCTTCGTGTTCTCCCCCCTAACTGCTGACCAGATCTGTTCGATTCTCCCTCTAAAATCTCATGGACGCTCGACGTACTACAGGTATTGTTTGTAGAGATCTAATAGGATCCAGTTCGTCTATCCAAAAAATCATCCCCGGTATTGTCGACCATAGTACCTAGAAAGCAGAGGATAGATGTGAGTTCGACATCATCTCCAAAACCACCCTTCCACCACTAATCAAGTGAAAGGGCGCTGATAAACAAGGACTATGTCCCCGACCAAAACCCTCACTAAGACATCTGAGCGAACGAACGCTTCTTCAACAAGACATGCCTCAGTAATTGAAAATAGCCTAAATCATCAAGGGTCACCTACGGTGTATCGCGGATGTTAGGAGAAAACTCACAGCGGCTCTAGTGTCTCTAAAAATTCATAACCACTGTCCGCTACCAACACTCGTCTAAAACACCCAAACTAACAAGATCCTAACCCTAATTGCATGCATTTCTAAGTCTAAAACCACGAACATCTGAACTACAAAGGTCTAACAACAACAAATAATTAAAATCTTACCAGTCAGAGAAGAAAGAAGGTTGAAAAGGGTGACGGCGAGCAACAAATCTCCAAGAAGCAACGACGGTCGAACAGACGAGCAATAACGAGTAGTATGAGAAAAGAATGAAAAGTACATAACGCCCTACTCCTCTCGTATTTATAGATGGTAACGTCCGTGCGTGAGAGACACACACCTAGGGTCGCCATCATTACACCCTAGCCCCTAGGCCATCATTAGCCGCTTCGTCAGAGCATTCCTGAAACACGCTACCTGTTTAGATTCAAAGCTCAAAACTGACAACTCATTGTCTCCCCGCAAGAAAGGAAAAACAAACAACACTTATATCAACAAAAAAAGTGACGCGTCCTACGAGCAAGTGCTAATGTCATCACTCATGTGCCCAGAAGCAACGACTTAGGGGAAAATGTTGTAGACTGGCCTGACAGCCTGTGTGGACCCAGTCTAGAGTCCTCCTTCGGTGAAGCACACACGACACTTCCTGAATCTCTCGCGCCTTTTGTTGATCACTGTCGATCATTTTCCCTCTTAGACCAACACTAGCCTTCTATGTTCGACGAGCGCCTCCCAGTACGCCTGACCATAAACTCGACCAGACAAACAAGAACCGACCAGATCGCTTCCTGTAACCTACCTCCTCGGAACCAACGACTAGTTACGGGCATACCTGCTCGGTATGACCAAGTCCTGGCAGTTACCTATTTTCATGGATTTGCATATCTAGGGCCAAAAATATGAACCAATGGCCACGCGCCAGGTGCATTATATAAACCCTCACACATGTGAGGGTCAGGTATCGAATATTTACTATTCACCACTAAAACCCTAACACTTTACTTGTATCTCTTTGCTCTCACTCTTACTTGATCGTCGGAGTGCCTTGCAGGTACAACCCCCTTTTTTCCTCCTCGACGTTCCTGCCCGACAAAAGACCATCATCTGGATATCTTGCAGGTTCTGATCAACTAGTATGATCAATAAACATGACTGTAACAGAGATTATAATGTGAAGATGATGACTATCAAGTAGCTGAGTAAGAGGATTCAAAACTCTTTAAAAAGAAATCTTATGATGAAGATAAAGGATATAAAGACAAAGACACAAAGAAAGTGGAATGTAGGTGTCAACAAGACTAAGGCTATAAGATCAAGATTTAAAGCTAGATATATGGTTGATGGTTCTTTCTTAAGGGATTACACTAGAATATACGATTATTGTCATGAGTTGTTAAGAGAAAACCTAGGGTCCACTATGAAGCTTAATGTCGATCTTGTTCAAGAAGGTTTAGATGATAAAAGACCCTATTTCAAAAGGATGTACATATGTTTTGTAGCATGTAATAAGAGTTTCAAGTTATCTATACATGTCATAGGACTTGATGGTTGCTTTCTAAGGAGCTTTGTGGAGGTTAGATTCTAGTTGCCATACGCAGGGATCCAAATGATCAGATGCTTCCAATAGCATTTACATTTGTGGAAGAAGAAAATAGGGATAGGTGAACATGGTTTTTTGAGCTCTTGATTGATGACCTTAGAGGTAAAGGTAATTGTATCACATACACATCCATTTCAGATCAACGAAAGGTGCGCAAACATGCTTACATTCATTCATTCATTCATATGTTTATACCTAAGCACCAAGCTGGGATACAAAACCTTTCATCTCATGTGAGCAGATCCTCTAAAACCCCTATAAAACCATCGTACATAGCTTTTCTCCATTGTGGGCAAACCTAAACCACCACAAATTGTTATATACCTACTAAGTCCTCTAAGTTCCCATTCCCTTGCAAGGGTAGCATGCACACCTATACTTTTTTTTACCAATATAAGCTTCTTCACCAGTTCTTGTTAACTGGTGATGAAGGCTCAGAGTAGACCAATATACCATCGCAAGGCTGCATCCTTGAAGGTGTTAGACAATAATTTTCACTTCAGAGAGTCAGGTGTTTCAATGATGGTCATTTGTGTGTTGATGGAGGCAACATGTTCATAAGGAATACTACGCCCGTCAAACTTGGCCAAAGAGGATGTTTGAATCCTTTAGGGACAAGCGTTTTCCATATCTCATCAGAGAATCTCTAGTGGTTTTATGGTGGTTTTAGAGGGCCTGCTCACGTGAGGTGAGAGGCTATGTAAATCAATGTAGTGCTTATGGTATTCTATAAAGTTATTCTCCTCCTTTTCTCGTTACTGGATAAGTATTTATAAAAATCCAAGGACATAGGGTTTAGGGAACTTTTTAGAGGAAGTAACTGCTCTCTCTTGACTAGGAAATACTTTTGACTAGTTACTTTCTAGGGAGTCGTGGTATAACCCTTTCTCATATTCTCATATGACTATTATGGGGGTTACAGTACTATCCACGTCCTTTGCCCCAAGGGAGGGCCCTTATGTTCTGGGAAGGTGTCGCCCATGTGACGTCATACTAGGCGGAGACCTTGGAGTCAACCATGTTTGACACTCTCACAAATATAACACTACAATTTCCAAGTCTTCATACCCATATAATTCTTGTGGCTTGGTTGAACGAAGTTCTATGTCACCTACAAAAATATAATCATGTACTCCACCTAAAATTTCAGGTCCATGGTTAATTCAAGCACTACATGTATATTTTCATTGGTGGCAGATCAACATCCATCTAAATCACATATTTGCTGGAAATTTCTCCTTCAGATGATGTCATATTTGTTACAATTGACTTCTTCAACAATAACTGGTCATAAAAAATAATATTTTTGTTGACACATTTGTTGCAACTAACTGCTTCAAGAGTAACTGACAAAGACATATTTCTTTAACTTTGAATCAAGTTTGGATCCATCTTCACTAAATATATGCACATAATCTAAACACCTAAATCTCATTAAATTTTCAAGATCAAGATGATTACATGTCCATACCTTCTATCCAACCCTCCCATCCAATGAAACATATGATGGCATGTTGATAAGATATCATGACATGGTAACTACATCTACCAAGAAACCTTTTGATAATTTACTATCCCTTTCAATTCAAGAACCAAAATTTTAAGAATCTAAAAACTTTCTAAATATTTTTAAATTAAATAAAAAATATGTTAAAAATACTAATATTAAACACTTTAAAAATAATTAACTTTTTATTTTATATTAATGATAAAATTAAATATTAAAAAAAATAGTAATTTTGAGAGTGTAATAATTTCTTGGTTAGGAGACTTATAATTTAATTTTTGTATCACATTGCATCTTTCATTAAATAAAACATTACAATAAGTAAATGGATTTGAAACAGATTTAGAAAGTGCAACCACTGAAAACGTGAAAACAAGGCATGCGTTTTCACATCCAATAACAAACTCGATGGCGTGTCACAAACCAATCGCAACACTCCACGTGGCATTACCTCCCATATTACATAACTTGGCGCCCTCTCCACACTTTCCCACTTCATTCATTCATTTTCCGATCTTCACCGCTCCGGTTCTTGATTCCGGTTCACGTAAAAAAACCGAAAAAGAAAAACCGAACCGTAAAATCTCGGTGTTCTGATGGAAGCTCACGGTGGAGGTCTCCGCCGCGTCTTGGTGCTAGCCTTCTGCATCGCCGGAATCTGGTCGGCGTATATATACCAAGGCATTCTTCAGGAAACACTGTAAGATTTTCACTTCCGATAAATCGCTTCTCGATCTCTGTAATCGATTTCATCACTCAATTTGAAAATTTGTTGTGAATTTTGAAATTGAATTTGGTTTTCAGGTCAACGAAGCGATTCGGTCCAGACGGTGAGAGGTTTGAACACCTAGCGGTTTTGAACTTGGCGCAGAACGTAGTCTGTTTAATCTGGTCATTTATAAGTGAGATTCTTATTCTATAATACTAATCAATCCTAATTGTAAAATTACAAAAATGTGCTTTAATCATCTGACACCAAAAACATGACACTGACGCGTCCACAATGATAATAATTTGAAAAAAAAGTGAATTCAACATAATCACAAGTGTGAGGGTCAATTTCGGATACGACACTGGCATGAACACACATTTTTTAAGAGGTGTCGGCTAAAGTGATCATAACTATCTCAATTACACATATTGATTGTGATTTGTTGTAAGTGGAAAAAAATTTGATGATAGTGTGTTTCAATTAAACTCTTGTTGTTATTTATGTGTAGTGATAACGATTTGGGGTGGTGGAATTTCTGGTGGTGCTCCTTGGTGGTCTTATTGGAGCGCTGGTATTACTAACACCATTGGTCCTGCTATGGGAATTGAGGCTTTGAAGTATATTAGTTACCCTGCTCAGGCATGAATTCTGCCTCTGTTTCTTTCTTTGTTAATGGTGGTTCCCTTTTAAAAAACTATGTTTGATTTTGATTAATGTGGTATAGGATTTGTAAATATTGTTTGAGTTTGAGTTTAAGATATTATAACTTGAATTGGTATTGTGTAGAAAACCAATGGAATATCAAAAAACATGGTACGGGATTAAGATAAAAAGGAAAAAAAAAACATTATAAAGAAATGCATCTCCATTAGGAGTTCCTTATTGAGTCATTGAGCTAAAAATTGGTCCTTGGTTTCAACGTTGAAGTTGGTACTGGCACATGTAAGGACCAGGGTTTTATGCATCTCTAGTCGTGAACCTTGATATTACTTAGAATGAAGGTCAAATGGGATCGAAGCAGCCTAACTGCAGTCACATTGTCGTTCCGACAATATAAAAAACAGTTATTGGCCTATCCCAACTATAAAAAAAAAGTTATTGGCCTATTCCGTAGTTGGAGACCTTTATTTAAACCTGGGAGGATCGTTCCTATATAAAGAATTATTCATTATAGTTGCTTATTTATCTTGACTAATAAAAATGAATGAAACGTATAAAGACTTGAGGTAAAATGTGGGAGTCATTTGAATCTTTAAATGGTTTCGCTATTCGAGGAAGAACATGATAACTGCTTAAAGTTGATGTGGCCTAAATAAGACCCGTCAAAATGAGTTTGCAACTCTATCTTGGTTGCACCATTACAGACTGCTCTAAAACACAAACTAGCCACACATCATGTGTACAGGTTGAAGCATTTTTAGTTGTTCACTTCATTCTGCATGCAGCAGCATTTTTGTTTGCGTTGTTGTTTAAATGTTCTGAGCATAAGACTATGAGCTTTTCTTAAGGGGTGTTCGTTTTACTACATGCAGGTGCTGGCAAAGTCCTCAAAAATGATTCCAGGTCAGTATATTGTGCTTGATTATTCTATTTTAATTTGATACAATTGAAAATTAGCAGAGCTTTTAAATTTATTTACTTAGTTGTCTTGCATTTTTTATTGAATTATTATGTAGTTATTTTCTGTGCTTAAGCAATTCAATACATGTCATCACTATATTTTGGTTTAAGGGGAATTTAGGGTAACTTCTAAATGAAATTAATTTTCTCAAGTTTGGGGAGTCAATGAATGTGGAGCTTCAGAATTTAAGCAAAACATGGGATAGTCTTGTGGTAATGTATTCTTTGAGACTTCTGCATTTCTTGTCCTTGTACCTGTGGGCGAATGTTATATTGCTTTTGACTTGATTATACATCTCGATTTGTGTCTTAAATTTGTATTTAGCATGCACCCTTTCCTTCATTTTCACATGAGGGTGGGTTGAAAATAATTGCATTCATTATTGTTTAGTCTTTTGGGTGTCTTTAATGGAGGATTTTATAGCTGGTTCAAATACATAAACATTTGATAGAAATTGATGATAGAAAAGTTTATATTCAATTTGTATCCTCAGACTATGTGAACCAGAACCACTCTTAAATGTCTAACAAATAATTCACTTTAATGCAGTTATGCTGATGGGTTCACTCGTATACGGTATAAAATACACCATTCCAGAATACCTTTGCACCTTCCTTGTTGCTGGAGGAGTTTCAACATTTGCACTTCTAAAGGTTAGGAACTTCTCAGTATAACAGACCTCGCCTATCTTTTTGTCTGAATTTTCACTGTCCTTGAATACTGCTCATCTTTATTTATTTATTTATGCATTACAGACTAGCTCAAAGACTATCAACAAGCTAGCACATCCAAATGCTCCACTTGGATATGGGCTATGTTTCTTGAACCTTGCTTTTGATGGATTTACTAATGCAACCCAGGATTCCTTAAAAGCTAGGTAATACTGAAGAAGCTTTTCTCTCTTTTCATTTGGCATACAGCAATTCTAATCTTTTTATATTACGCTCTCACGTGCTAAACTTGTTTTCCTCTTTTTTACTCTTTTCTTCTTTATTGCATGACAGATAAAAAATTATCATTTCATTGAAGTTGTAATCTGTACAATATAAATGAAGAGTACCTAATCACTGAATAGTGTTTTTGAAAATTTGTTTTTGTTTAAGGTGTTGTCTTTTAATCCAGCTATGCAGTATGTACTGCTGTTATCATTAGTTAATTCTCATTAGATGCAATTATCGGAGATAAGTTCAATATTGGCTGCTTAAAAACTAAAACACAAATCTACTGGCTTACAATTTCAGTCTTTCTCAGTAAGGTTACTGGCTATTATGGTAATTTGATGGATAGTTTGATAGTTAAGTCACAAACAATACTATATATGATTTGTTATGCTCGCCTCTCTCTTATGATTTCTGCTTGTAGGAAAAATCTCATCGCCTGTTTTTGCACTCACATGTCAATTGTTTGAATGTAGCCATCTCAAATTTCAACATTGTTAGGTTTTCTTTGTTTCAAATTATTCTTGGAACATCCTAAATAAAGATTCACTGGTTCTAATGTTTACTCTTTTCTAATAATGTTTTGCCTTACACAGGTACCCGAAAACAAGTGCTTGGGGTATTATGTTGGGCATGAATTTATGGGGAACCATATACAATATGATTTACATGTTTGCATGGCCCAGTGCCAGTGGATATGAGGCGGTTCACTTTTGCAAACTGCATCCAGAGGCAGCATGGGATATTTTTCTGTATTGCTGCTGTGGTGCTGTGGGACAGAATTTTATCTTCTTGACCATTAGCCGGTTTGGCTCTTTGGCTAACACGACCATCACCACCACTCGCAAATTCGTTAGCATTGTCGTATCTTCACTATTGAGTGGGAATCCCCTTTCAACAAAGCAATGGGGATGTGTTTCTATGGTATTCTCTGGATTATCATACCAGATCTACCTCAAGTGGCAGAAGTTGAAGAGATTGCAGAAGAAAAAGAAAGCCACGTGAAGCCCTGCATCAATTTTGAAGTTCAATATCGATTCTATACCCGAAGATTCAAAGAATCAGATTTAGGTTTATATACAAAGAAGTATTAATATTAGTTGTTGTAATTGTAATTGAATAGATCCCTTTTGAGAAGTGAAAAAGTTTAGGTCCCATTTTCTTATTCATTGTGTTAATTTACTAGTTGCCCGTGCTTTGTAAGAACTGCTAGTTTTGATCTTAATAGCATACAAAAAGCTATATTCTATGTAAACATGATTTTCAGATCATCTCATCTTCTGTAGTTTATTTAGATTATCCCAATATTGTATGAGTTGCAAAAGAAGCTTAAACAATGTTATGAGCATTAAAAGTACATTTCTAAAAAATTGTTTGCTTTCAGATTTTGTTTTGTTCTATCAAATTGATGCTGTGTTATGTTTATATTACTTCAATTAAATCTTACAATCAAAATGCAATAACTTCTGGGCTTAAAAATGTATATTAGGGTGAAGGAGAAGTCTGTTTATTTTTCTTTTCTTATACAAAATATACAATCATGAATTGTTTTGGACATTTTATTGAACCAATAGTTTCTGTTTGTGATTCTCAACTTGAATAGGCTTAGATGGCTCAACATAAAATGTGTTCTGCTTGGAAATCAAAATTGATCGTTGATCGATGTCCATGGATTGCAACTGTGGACTTGAGCTTCATGTGATGTGTGGTGGATTGTTAGGCTCAAACATTACTGGGCCTTTTGACTGGCCCAGAACAAAGTGGATTTGACAGCAAGTTGGGAGAAAAAGCAAAGGGAAAGAAAGAAGATTCTGTGGTTAAAAGAAATCTGACTTTATAAAGGTAGGGAGGAGACATGTCTGTTGTTTAGAAGAATAGTTCTTTATGTACTAATTTTAAAGTTGTAACTACAGTATCGACTTTATACATCCCAAAAAAATCCATAATTAAATAGCATTATTCAATATAAAATAGTTTTAATTACTTCAAAATAAAAACCATCTAAGATTTGACCAGATTATCTATTTAGGTAAGACCTACTACCCTCAAATGAGTGGAAATTATGAGGTCAAATTAGTCAAAGTGCACCTTCCGTTTAGAAAGTTAACAGCTAACTAATGTGCTTTATTTTGTAGGAAGTTCCCTCCCTCTTTTTACTAATTGCTTTTGCCAATAGTCATTATTATCTGTCTCCTGTCTTCCACCACAACCACCATCTATGAACTAATCATTCTACTAAACAAACATGCAGTTCCTTCACAAGTGTTCTTCTGCAAAGCACAGTTCAAAATAACAGTGTGCCTGAGAGCTGAGAGAAGGAAAAGAGTGAGACATGTTCGCATGCATGCATCTGTCAGATCAGATTATGAGGTTTGTTGTACTGTTCACAACTTCTTGTCAAGTTTTTTTGCGTTCTGATGTGAAAATGAAGCTCATATAGTTGAAATATGTGTGTTTTGTAAGTGTGAATGAGTTCTACACTTGCAATAAATTGTGTAGAAGTTTGTTTTCTGTTGCTCTGAGTGATGTTATTTGGAAATTTTCTCTTGAAGTTTACTTTCATACTCTGAGAAAAGAAGTATGAGTTCATGCCTGTTTCTTTCTCTGCTGAGAAATCCTTGCTCTTACTATTCTGTTATTTTCCTTTGTTGGGCTAATCATGTTTTTAATCTCTAAAAATAGTCTATAATCACGTTTAGTTCACACAAAAACTTTCATCCATATTTAGTCTCAAATTTTGTGACTTCACAGACTAAAAGTAGAAGAAAACTTTCATCAAAATCACTAAATTTGAAAACTAAACATTAATGAAAATTTCTGCAGGAACTAAACTTGATAAGAGGTTACTTTACATGGAATAAAATTATAATTAACTCTTTGTACTGGGATAATTTTGTTTTTTCTAAAAGAGTTTTTTTCTAAATGAAGATAGACCGAAGGGAAGCAAGACAAGCCGGGGCCAGTACGTAACTGGCACCATATGTCGCCCAAGGTTGGGTTTTGGTTGCCCAACTATCTCAACCCGCGCCCACTGTTAGCATCACTCGCCCCCTGTTGGGTTTGGGTTAGGGTTAAACCACCCATCACCCACTTACGAAACATAGGGATTGACGTGTCACTTAGACACTAACGACAGAAAAGTTCAGTAGACTTCTCCGGGAAAATAGGGGGAGTAACAGTTTCTACACTGGTCCAAGAATCCAGACTCAATAGACTTCTATAAATATCTCAATTCACCCAGAAACCATATTGATAGAGAGCCTCTCACAATCTCGCGTGAGCTTGCTCTAACACGAATCCTCAGACAGTTTTACACAATTAGGGGTTGTCACTCATCGTTCTTTTCGCGAATACACCCTGCTTTGTTTAAAGAATTGTACATAATAAAGATATAGAATATAGATATATGATTGTTAACTTCAGGTTAGAGTTAGACATAAGAGAAACAACATCTGCATTCAGCATCCAAAGCCAAAATGCATTTCCACTCATACTATAAATAAATTTCAGTACATCTGAATCAAAAAAGGAAAAGCATTATTTATTCTATAACCTAACCTATGCACACCAAAAAACAACAAATAGGAATCATATTTGCCACTGGCTAATTTTTTACACTCTTTTTCTTCTTCTATCTATGTCTCTCTGTTCATTATATGTAGTAGGATCGGCGAATTGCCAATGTATACAAACACTCAAGATGACAACTAGTATCATGCAGCAGGCTCTGTACAAAACAAAAAAAAAAACCAAGACCAAATGCTGGATTGGAGGAAAAACAAACCCAGAAAGATGTCAAAGAAGAAAACAAACTAAAGAATGACACACTAAAGCACACTAATTTTCGGTGCAAGTATCTACGGGGAGGAAAAAAACACTGTTAAATATGTTGAAAGTCCTCAGAATGTACCTAACATTCTAAGGGAAAAAGATGAGCCTGTCAAAATTTTAGGCTGAACAAAATTTGCAATCTTTCTCAAACCAGGATGAGAAGGACTAGCACGCGAGATGGTCGCGGGTGAGGAAAAACAAAAGATTTAGATAAGAAAAAAGACATAAATGATTTTTTTTCCTTCAGAAAATTAACTTTGTAGGAGGGCTCTTTTGCAGAGTGGCGGTTGCGAGGGGTTGGCGATTGGGTTGAGGGATGGAGAATCCATTCCAAGTGTTTTCATAAGGAAGTTCCTTTCCTGAAAAGGAAAATAAAGAAGTGTCAGGGTTATAGGATTAGAGTTCAAAATCTGATAAAATTGAAAATATTAACATAATAACTAATATAACGTGCCGGTGTAAAAATTAGTCACATGTGCCGGTGTCATGTTGAACACAGTTGGACACTGGACACACACCTTTGCTCTGAGAAGTCGGTGCTACAGAGTATATTGTTACAAGTATATTCAGAATACTTATCGCTATTACTTCTATAATCTCACGGTTGAATTTAGTTATTTAATCTCAAAAGTGCTTGTGTAACTTACACTTTCTGAAAATTGTGGACTTGGAATTGCTGCAGTTAAGGATCTGAACATAGGGGTAACTTGAAGAGGAGAACTAAACTCTGCAGTTGATAGGGATGAAACAATGCCAATGCCATCACTGTTTATCTGTTCCTCACAAGATGTGAATATATCTGTTACAAAAAGATAAATATCTAATTAGCAATTCTGATACATTGAGATTTAACATATTAGTACATTAGCAGCATATAAAAGCTTTTTTCTCTAGATCAAAAAAGTTATAAAAAAAACAAATAAATGTAAAAACTGAAAAAGGGTGGAACCACAATAAATGTAAAAACTGAAAAACAGTTGAACCAACTCTGGTTCAACCAGATTGCAATATAACTAGGATGAAATCGACCGATGGACTGGCTGGTTCCTAGTTCAACCAGTGAGTTCGGTTTTGATATTTTTTATCATTGGATTAGATGATAATATCACCTTGATCGACCATAGTTGCACTAGAAAGAACCACTTGATCACATCCTCCATCTCCCTTTTGATCTCCAATTTGTATTGAATTCAGTTCAGTTCCATTATCTTGATGTAGTGAGTGTTCCAAATTCTCGGCAGCAGAATGAGGCAGAATAGTTGATCCTTCGGAACTGCTTGGAGAGTCTTCATATAATTCCAAGTACCTATTATAAATTTAGAAGCTATTAGATATTGCATAAATATCCCTCATGAAAGTTATTGTATTTTAAAATTTCAATGAGCTTAAGGTACCTCCAACATGGTTGAATTTCCTCACTACTATTCTTTAAGTCTTCCAGTAAGTCTTTAAGATCTACAAACTGTAAATCTGGAATTTTGTATCCAGGAATATCTGACTCTTTGTTTCTGTTCATAAACTCCTGAAGAATCTGGCATCAATATACGCGTGTTAGAGCTTATATGAAAAAAGTCTATGAATAATGGCATTTTTCTTATTTGTATGCTCAAGAAATAATCCCTGCAGATATCAGCTACGTATGAGCTGATCACATCACAGCAAAGTTAAGCTTTTCAATATTTGATTATAAGATAGCAAGCCGATCTATAAACCTATTACAATGATTATTCAAAATGTAGATCATGGTGTTAAATTGTGGTTGTGTTTACACTGCGATGTGAACCTTTATATTATGGTAAAATGTGGCAAATGCGGTCAAACAACAATTTAAAACCATGATGACTAAGTAAGTGATAAGTTATAAGTTATAAGATCATATAATTTCTAATTCTATCTGATTAGCTTATAGGACCTGTGTGAATTGACTTATTTGAGTTTATCTCCCAATATAAGCACTTGTGATACTGTTTGGAAGAGGGTATGGAAACTTGTATCACATGTTTATAAGCTATTTTTAGTTTAATTATGTAAGTTCCTCAAGAGGGTTTACTAAAACAGCTTATAGCTTAAATAAAAACAATTTGACTATATTTTATCTTTTATTATAAAAATAGCTTATATATAAGCAATTATGCTATAAGCTATTAGTTAAATTGTTGATCCAAACAGGGTCATAATGCTACATGATGTTGAAGAACTTAACCTCTTCAATATCAAATATAATTATTTGACTGAACAGTGAAGATATGTTGAATATTTACGTGATTTTCAAACAGATTGGTTTGAAACATTAAAAGTTGATTTAATTTTTTTGGGGTTGAATATTCTTCTTGACATATATTCACACTTTGATTTTTGTTTTTGAATGCACCAACACAATTGGAGTTCAATTTGAAAGAAGACCATGTGATGTTCAAAACTAAAAAAACAAGAGCAAGTTGGGAAACTATCAAGCCTCACCTTCCATGCATTTTCAAGACTTTGGTCCATGTTCTCTGCATCAACTTTTAGAGCTAATGATGTTAGAAGCTCGGCTTGTTGCATCAACGCGTTTATCTTTGGATCATCCTTTTTAAGGAATGTTCCTTGAATCTTGTTGTTTGGAGCTACAAAAGAACGAGAAATCGAGAGTTACATTATAATGATATGATTGGATGGCCAAAGTTATTTCTGGCTTAATAAATTAGACGATGTTTGGTTTATTTCCTGTTTAGTTCCTGAATGTATCAAAATTACAAAAATATATCTAAATGTGCCTTTTGTTAGTCACTTCGATCCATAAAGTTACTAACATAAGACGCACTAAGGTTGTTTTAGTAATTTTTGACACATTTGGAGACTACTGTAACAACGCCTCACACGTTTCAGGGACCAATATGACTGTTTACTTGCTTTCTTAATTTGGATTTCACAACTGCAAAAGATCAAGTTTCATGATTAAACTTTTTTAGTAGAGATTTACCAAAGCCGCCGAACTTCACATTGCAGACATCATTCTGGTCTGGCAAGTTGTTGATATGACGAGAGTTTTGAGGTAAAACTGCCAATGGTGCTCTTGAAGCTTCGTGTTGTTTATGTGATCTGTCTGCAAAGTTGATCTTTTCTGCATCATCAGGGATATGTGACCTCCTGTATTCCAAGTGAATGGCATGTTAACACTTCATCATTGAATTTATTAATATGTTTTGATCTGTTATCGCTTAACATACCTCATTTTCTTATAATCTACTGCAGAATCTGATGCCGCGTCTCGGAAAATAATCCTTTTGTTATTCGAATTCGTGTACGAAATGTTGTTCTCTTTTGCTAAGGCTTCATATTTAGCTCTCTTTTTGCACAATGTGGAGAAACGGTTTTTGACAGCGTTATCGGTTCTGTATACAAAACATTGAAGCATTTCGATTAGAATAACTGTTAAAAAAAGAGTCTATTTGGTATTTTGTGAAGAGAATAATAAATTTTTTTACCTTCCTGAAACCACCTTTGCTATTTCTGTCCATCTATTGCCAAATATTTTTTGTGCCTATAAAGATAATAGCAAGAAGTTAGTTTTGGTTGTTACCTGATCTTACAAGTGTAGATTTTGATGTAAAACTGTTGGAAACACAATTCTAGCTCAAAAGAAACAGATACGAAAAACGCATACACAGAACAAATGAAATTTGATCACAGAGTTCGGCCAATTGTACTTACGTTTCTACTTGCAATACGGATTCTACTATTCAAACATAGAATTCAAATTTTACAAGTTGTGTTTAAAAATACTACGGTCGAGTTTTCACCGGTACTAGCACTGAATATCATTAAGTTCATCATGGATTGAAACCAAATCAAACCAAACCACATAGAGGGAAAAGACAGAAAGGAAAATGATCAAGTTTATATTTAAAAGTTATATCATTAAGCTTGTTAAACTCCAAAGACAAGTGATTGACGAGCTTCCGTTCGAATCGATTGAAAGTAACCAAAGTCAAACTCTGACCATAACAATCTTCAGTTAGATTTTACTTTTCTCCTGGTTGAACATCGAATCACCAAGCTCGAAGACCAAAAAAAACTCATATCATATAGAACATAGGAAACAATTTTTTTTACCTCACATAAGAGCATATCTTCATCTGGTGACCAACCTCCTTTCTTGAAATCAGAATTCAAATAAGTGTACCATCTGATAATAAATAATATCAGTTACATAATCATCAGATAGAGAGAGAATCACTATGAAACAGAATCCATCAAAATAGAAAATATCTTGAATGAATCATGATCAAAGCTCAAAAACTTTACCTTCTTCTGCACTGTCTTGTTGTTTTATCCTTGAACTTAGAAGCAATTATTGCCCAACTGCATTAAGTTATTGAAACCAAAATCACTTTTAGTCTTCCATAATCATAAAACTAGTAGTAGCAACTAGTGAGAACTCGAAAAGAAGAATAACCAAAAGGGTATTAGTATTTGTATTTAGTACTTTTCAGTTCCATGGATTCCAATTTGATCTCTCAATATATCATCCTCCTGCAGCAACTTACAAAACACACATGAGAATAGAGACACAAACAAAATACTAATAATTTATAATATTCGGTAAGCGAAGAAGAAGGACCTCTTGAGTCCACGTCACAATGTGACGCTCCTTCTTCTTTGATTCTTCAGTCACAAGCTGCTTCTGCTTCTGATTCTGCAGCTTCTTCATATCTTGCATGATTGTTTTGTTTATTCTTATTCTTCTCTCTTTCTTAAACGCTCCTTCCTTTTTTACAAGGAGCCAAGTTGCATGCTAAAGCCAAACACTCTTCCTTTATAATAAAATATACGATAATAACTTTTTCTGATTTGTTTTTTTTTGTTACATAAAAATTAAAAACAAAAAAACAAACAAAAAAGGAACAAACAAACCCTTGTTCTTTCTCTTTCATTCACCTTTTACAACTGTATTTTTTTGAGTTTCAAAACGGGATCCGTAATAAGAATAAATTCCATTCTCAAAAGCCACCTTATAACAAAAAGCTATTCAATTTATGAATTGGCTTTGGATTCTTAACTTTTCAGAAAGAAAAAAAAAACACTCACTATCTTATCCTCTGTCATAAAACAGAACAAAAACAGAACAATGTTTAATGTTGAAAATAAGGAACCTAAGATGAAAAATAGAAAATGGGTAATCAAGAATACATACAAGGGTTCATAAAGGGTAAATGGGTTTGAATCAAAATCGTATTTTTATGTGTATTTAGATCTAAAAGTAACAACTTTGAGAAAAAACCCAAATGAGAAAAAGTTGACAAATACCTCGAATATGAAGGGATACTATGTTGAGATTCTCCAAGTCTGTGTGTGAAAAACACTGTTATGTTTGTTTTCTCTGTCTAGCTTTTGATGAAAAACGGTCACATAGTTAGAAAAAGTAGGTAGGGACAAGAACAATGAATATAAAAATGAATAGTAGATGATTGTTGTGGTAGTGCGCGGGTATGAAGAGAAGTTTGAATATAACACTGAATTTTATGAGCTACGTGCAGTGTTGTCCACTAAAGATTCTACTAGTATCATATCACAATAGATATAATGATGATATAACGTTTTGTTGCAATACAAAAACACTACGTAGAAGAAATATACGAATTTCATGTGTTTATATACTAATGATCATTTTGTGTGAGAGCTGAAAAATGGTTTGAAATTGGTGGAATTTTAAGGAGACATGAGAAGGTACGTGAGCTAGAACAGCTAGGTGTCACGAAGGAACATGTGTGGTGAAATTTAATGGTTCGTGACTTCATGTGTTGAAATTGTCATGTTAAAGGGTACTGTTCTGGGTTTTACAGTACCATTTTGGTTTTATGTGATGTATTCTTGGTGACTTTTTGAATTTTTTAGTTGAGTTTGCTTTGATCCTTGAGATCTTATTGTTATGTTTCTCAATTAATGGTGCGTGAAAATGTAAATGCTCTGTTTTATCTATTAGTTTAACATCTAGGAAATGTAAGTAGAGTTTTTTATATGGTGAATATTTTTTTAATAAAAACAAATTAATATCCATTCATTTAAATTAATAGAGTATAATAACTAAAAAAATATTCGGTGGGGAAACTACGGGTGACAAACGGGTCCGGTCTGTTGGGTATGTTTATTTTTCCCGTACTTTAGTGTTAGGCATTTCAAGGGTTTAGGTTTGCACTCACTAATGTGTCTGTTCCGCACCACTTCGTTAATATAAATTTTTGTACTTTTAAGCTTAAAAGGTGCAGTGACAGCGGACTCGTCCCACTAAGTTAATTTATTTGTTTTGCATTTTTAAGTTTATAAGTGTAGTGCCAACGGGCCCGCCTCGTCCTCACTTTTGTAGGGCGATCAAGGTTTTAGGTTTGCACCCTTAACTATACTTGTCCTGCTCCGCCCTTTTTTTCTGCGGATATTTGTAGGACGAACCTAAATGGGGCGGGCATGCATGTTTGTCACCCCTAGGTGGAACTTAGTTTATCGATAAAAAGGAGGTAGGCAGTGGTCACGAGCTTTCGATGTTGTGGAAAAAGAGTTAACTTGCAAAATTAGCACTCAAACGCTCAAGACGGTAAGAGAGTGAAAAGTGTTGCGAGAATGAGGATGAATTTAAATACTTGAGAAATGATGTGTTTTCCCTCCTAAATAGGAGAAGTAGTTGACAACTGAAAACTAGGAGTACGACGTGAGTCGCAGTTAGCCGTCACATTGATCTGGATGCCTAATAGGACTTATGTATTGCCCATAATCACCCCCGGAGAAGAGAAAAAGGGCCTACTTGTTCGAAATTTTATTCTTCTTCGTTACTTTTGGGCCTTTGTTCTTTGGGTCTTATGGGTGACACAAAACAATTTCTCCCTAAGCCACTGTTTCTTCATTGTAAGACGAGGGATTGTGACACGTTCTTTTTCTCGGCCACTGAATCAGGGGATGTGGAAGCATTTGATGGGGTATCTTTATGCTTAACAACAAGCACAATAAATGTCTTTCTTGTAAGGGGTCATGTTTTGGTGAGAGCGATTGTCATATCTCTCAACGCTAGTTAGTGATAGATGTTTCCACTTTCTTAGAGCACTTAAGTGCTTTCAAGCAGTTTTTTTGAGGAGTTCTTAATTGTTGGTAGTGCATAGTCGATCATACGATCCTTAGTGGATGAATAGGGTATAAAAGGCCGCTAAAGCGTGCTTTTGACCTTTTTTGTCATTAGTGACCTACAAATGAGTTATTTGTGCTTCCTTTGTCATTTTTCATTGGGAATTTCCATGTTCCAGCATTTGGTCAATTTTATACGGTCTTGTTTGTTGGTATTGATCATGCATTTTCTTTGTTTTTTGTATTTAAAAACCTTTGGCGAGGCCATAAGGATTATCTTTCATTATAACAAAATTCAAAGTTTTCTTTATTTGCTGAATTCCAGAGCTTATCTGACAGGTTTTGTGCTTGCAACCCTGTGTTTTCACTCTAGATTTAGTGCTTGCTAATTTATAGGATTTTCTACTGCGTCAAATTCACTTATCAAAAGTTAATAACATAAAATCATAAATTGCATTTAAGTATGAATCAGAAGATGATAGGTTAATATGAATTAAACGAACACCATAACAAGATAGAAAAGAAGACAATTCTGCACAAAAGACAAAAATAAAGCAACGAAATCAAAAAAGTCAAATTTTAATTATACGTGAAAATCATTTATTTAAATTTAAAAAATAAATAAAGATCAAAGGTTGAATTTAAACCAAAATCATTTATTTTATTAGAAATAATGTCACCAATACAAATTTGAGAAGTAGTATAATGTGAGGACTATAAAAATTTTTAACCCCTATTATTAAATATGAATAACTGCATTCAGACTATAAAATTTAGGGTGACCATAAAATTAAACTATAATTTATATATCAAATAGTCATATCATATTCATACAATAATGTATATAAAATAATTAAATTGTAATAAACACAAAGTTGAACATGAAATAATCAAAAAATATTATTTAAAAATACTTTATAATAATGTTCTACGGTCTTTGAGTAACTTGAAATCATCAATAATAGTCTCGGAATCAATACTTACATCAATCTCTCTTTCAATGTAAATCGTCATGCTATCTCCTAGAAAATCAACTTCCATTTTACTTCTCAATCTTGTTTTGATAATTTTCATTGTAGAGAAAGATCTTTCAGTAGTGGTCGTAGATACCGGGAGAATCATAACAAGGCAAAGCAACCTATCAATCAAATAGTAGATTTCATTCTTTCCAGTTGCAACCAAATATGAACATAAGTCTTGATAGTTGATAAATTGTTCAAACATGATGCTTGACGAGCGTCAATAATAAAATGCTGAAGTTAAAATTGCAAATTAATCATCTTTTGTTCATTGAAGTCCATATGATAATAATTTTCAACTAGAGTATAAATAGTATCAAAGTTAAAAGCATTGTAATTATCCTTCGGAGCCAAAGTACAATTTAGAGTTAACAAATCAATCGCTTGCTCATTAAATATGTTATTCAACTCTTGTAATTGTTTGTCAATAATAGTGAAAAATATTTCAACTCTAAAACAATGCTCAAATGTTACCTGGTTTTCTTCGAGACGAGAGCGCTCAAATCTTGTTGTTGAATGCACATCACCAAGACCAAGAATATCAATATCATGTTTTTCCCAAAAAGACTTCACACAAGTAAACAATTTATCTCAACCATCTTCTCTCAATTCTTGAATAAGAGTTTTTATTGTAGAAACCAAATTCATAATATTAATTACATCTTGGGATTGTTGTAGTAAGGCTTGGCAAAACATATTTGTGACACCCATAATTTCTTTCATCATATGTAATATGAATATAAAATCAAATGACTTCAAGTAATTGTAAGCATTATCAACATTTTCACGTGAAGCATAATTTAATTTAATTTTTTTTTAAACAATATAAATTGCTTCATACATATTTATCAAGCTACTAATAGAAGAGAAGTGTGATCTCCAATAAGTATCTCCAACACGTCTCAAAGTATCAATTTTATTTTCACCTTTACCTGTTACAATCTTACCAGCGGAGGAAATGTGCAGAGGGAGTAAACACAAATATTGGTGGTGGTGGGTTAGCGTGAGACTGAGAGTGAGAGAGATGGTGGTGAACGTGATTTTTTTTAAAGAAAATGCAGAAGAGAGTCACGCGGTAAAGGAAGAGAAGAAATATGGAAATTAGGGATGAATGGAAAACTTGTAATTTTCAAAAAAAAAAGAAGTTTGGAGACTCCTCCCTAGAATATTAAATAAAAATGTTAGGATTATATGAGAAATGCTAAACTAGGAAAACATAAGTAATTGTAAAGTAGAAAGAAATGGCTGAGAATGCTAGTGAAATAGATTGTTTTATTGATTTAATGTATCTAAATTGGAATGTATTAGTAGTATTTATGGACAATGAGACAAAAACTTAATACTATTTTTCACAAACGTAGCTTATAAAGACTCAATAATGATTTTAGTTATTTGATGGAACTCGTAGGTAATGTGTAAGTTTGTGGTTATTGTTGTGTGCATTGTTATGTGCAGTTTTATCGTTCTCATAGAAGTTAGTTGTTTTAAAAACCGCTTAGTAGTTAATATTATTTTATTTTTGATTTATTAAATATTGGTTGTTTGGTGAATACTTCAAAAAGTAAAACAACAAAAAATAAACGTTCGCTAT